TCCCCCCTGGGGGCTGATTTGTTGATTTCTGTCTCTCTGTCTCTCCCTGTGTTTTTGGCAAATGCATGTGCCCTATAGCAAAAATCTCTAAAAAAAAAGAAAAGAAAAAAAGTCAGTATCCTAAGGTGGGTGTGTTGGTATAATCAGCCATATCTCATTGAAAAAGGAGTAAAAGGTTAGATCACATGACTAGTAGGTAGTTCAGCTAGGATGTAAACCCAGGGTTGTCTTCTCTCAGAGCTTCAGGTGCTTACCACTGTACTATACTACCTTTAGCTCTGCGTCTCTCTTCAATCTCAGAAGAGAAAGCATCTCTTCTTGTCCATCTGGAGTCACACCCATATCTTAACATTTGAATGACTATCTTGCCAATGTGTTTCCTCAGTTCATGCTCTCCTACTTTTCTGTGACATCTGACAATGCAAAATCCCAACTCTTAATGCTCTAATCCACCTTTTCCACTCTAACATTCAAATAAGTACTGCTGAAAAACAATCATATTATCCAATTGGCACCACACCAAAATGAATAATCCAGTACTTCATCTGAGTGCTCAGAACTGTTCTTCGATCCATGTACTTTTCCTTTCTCAACTCCTTTTTTTGTTCCCCTAACCATGTATTTCTCTTCTCACATCACCCAATCCATGCTCCCCCCTTACATCCCTCAGACAATACAGTCTCCATCTACTACGGCCAAGGAAAATAGATTCATCACTTAATCATCTCCCTCAACTTCTTACCCTTGGATATATACAATTATTTATATCCACACACACTGTCGCTTTTATTCCACTAGCCCTCCTCCTGTTCCAGGCAAACCCTTGATCTTGTGCCCTTTTGTCTCCTCCAGAATCTGGCTCCAACAGCCATCGCTTATTTTTTCCTTCAATATTCCCTTTCTTCCTCTATTGTCTGTGTTCCTAAACCTCTCCCCTGACCCAGTCCTAGGCATAGTCCAGTTCCTCTCTTCCCCTTCTCATGTATATTTACTTTCACTTCTTACCTATTTATTCCTTTTCATCCCACTGCACCTGGCATTTGCCTTTCAAGCTACTAACAGCTCTAATTGACACCAGATAGGGGCAGTCCTGATCTTCTGCTGCTTGGAAGCCTCCTTCCTAAAATGTTACATTTCTTTGGCATTATGGATGGGACTTCATTTCACCCCCTCCCGTCTCCCAAAGCTTCTTTGTCTCATTCATAGGTTCCTCTTACATATACCTTGCCTATTGGTATTCCTGAAAGTTTTATCCTTGGAACTCTTATTTCAGTTAACACCCTGTAAATGACCTCAATTTCCACCTACATGCTGATGGCGCCTAGATTTTTTTTTCCCCTAACTATATTTTCCCTGAAATTCAAAATTGCAGATTAACCTGCTGAAAATCTAGACCAGGATGTCCCACACATATCTTAGATCAGAAGCCCCAAACAACCTCCATCACCCCCGAATCATGTCCTTCTTCCTTTCTTTACTATCTGAAGAGGAAGTAATCTCACCCCATCTGGAATCTTGAGATTAATTTTTGAGTGACTTTTCTCCCTAACCCCTAGATGCAATCAAGTGTTACCAATTTTACCTCCTAAATACTCAAACCTACTTCTGTTCTTCATCCCTCTTGCCTCTGCCATAGTATAAGCCTGAATCATTTCTTTCTTGTATTGTTGTAGTGGTTTTCTAATTAAGGCTGCTTCAAGTCCCCCAGGCCAATCCATTCTCCATGATACTGCTAGCCCACTCTATCTAAAATACAATCTGGCCTCATCACTTTAAGTATAACCTTCAATGCCTCCCCAGCTGCCTAGTAAATGAGGGCCTCATGAGTGATACCTATCCCTCTTTTTCTTTGTTTAACTAATTTTATTCTTTACAGAAGTATTTAATTAATTCCATTCGTTATTGTTATTATTATTAATTTGACCAGAGAGAGACAGAGAAAAAGGGAAAGGGAGAAAGCACCCTGTAAATGACCTCAATTTCCACCTACATGCTGATGGCGCCTAGATTTTTTTTTCCCCTAACTATATTTTCCCTGAAATTCAAAATTGCAGATTAACCTGCTGAAAATCTAGACCAGGATGTCCCACACATATCTTAGATCAGAAGCCCCAAACAACCTCCATCACCCCCGAATCATGTCCTTCTTCCTTTCTTTACTATCTGAAGAGGAAGTAATCTCACCCCATCTGGAATCTTGAGATTAATTTTTGAGTGACTTTTCTCCCTAACCCCTAGATGCAATCAAGTGTTACCAATTTTACCTCCTAAATACTCAAACCTACTTCTGTTCTTCATCCCTCTTGCCTCTGCCATAGTATAAGCCTGAATCATTTCTTTCTTGTATTGTTGTAGTGGTTTTCTAATTAAGGCTGCTTCAAGTCCCCCAGGCCAATCCATTCTCCATGATACTGCTAGCCCACTCTATCTAAAATACAATCTGGCCTCATCACTTTAAGTATAACCTTCAATGCCTCCCCAGCTGCCTAGTAAATGAGGGCCTCATGAGTGATACCTATCCCTCTTTTTCTTTGTTTAACTAATTTTATTCTTTACAGAAGTATTTAATTAATTCCATTCGTTATTGTTATTATTATTAATTTGACCAGAGAGAGACAGAGAAAAAGGGAAAGGGAGAAAGCAAGCTGTCAGGTCTGGGACTTGAACCACGGTTCAGCCATGTGGGAATGCAGTGCCTTACCCACTACGCCACCTGCCAACCCTGGTTTTTTTGTGTGTGTTTTTCTTAAAGAGAGACTTTTTTGCTATCGAATGCACGCACTCACCAGAGAGACAGAGGCAGAGAGACAGAAAGTGAGAAATCATCCCTCAGCAGGGCTAGACATGTCACAATCCCTTCTCCTCCATTATCCTCTCAGGATTTGGGGCATGCACACGTGTCTGGCATGAGCCTTAAGTTGCTGGGTCCAGGACTTGAATCACGGTCGACTATGTGGAAGTCCAGTGACGCAACCATTACACCATCTGCTGGTCCCCTTATCCCTCTTTCTAGTTTCCACATCTGCTACCTGCTGGCTGCAGTTTCTAGAGCTTGCCTATTTTTGCTCATACTATTCCTTCTGTCTGGACTATCTTTTCCTTCTCTGTTTTCTTGTTTTAACTGACACTTCCTAATTCTTTAAGATTCCTTTTCAGTATTATCTCTTGCACAAGCCTAATCCAACTATCTCAAACTAGGTCAGGTAATTCTCTTCCAGTCTTCTATAACCTTCTCTAACTTGGACATGTTTCTGCTATATTTCATGACTGAATCATATGGTTGACTTTCATTCAATGCTTTCATGAAATAGTTTAAATATTTATTAAACATATACTGTGTGTCAGTCACTTTCAATGTTAACATTTGAGCTTACTGAAAGCAGAGGCATTATCTTATATATTTTTGTATTTTTTGGTGCTTATACAAAATCCAGTGCATAGCAGACATTCAAAGAAATGTTTAGCATGGTGTTTATGGGAGCTATGTCCCACATGGCCAATTGCAGTCTGAATCCTGGCCCTGGCAGCTTGAAAAACAAGTAAGGGTGGGGCAAGCAGAGCTGTGGTAGTTGAGGTGTTGGACTCCCATGTGGCTGACCCCAGTTTGAGTCCTAGATCTGGTGGCTTTCTTTCTATCTCTGTCTTTCTCTGATGGGTGCACGTGCCCTATGGCAAATTGAATAATAATAATAATAATGATCATAATTAATAGAGTTGAAGCCAGCAGGTGGCATGGTGGTTAAGGGCACTGGACTTCCACATGGCCCACCACAGTTCGAGTCCTGGACTTGGTGGCTTACTTTCCTACTCCCTCTCTGTCCCTCTCCGGTCAAATTAAAATAAATAAAATTAAATAAAATAATTCTTTAAAATATAATTAATAAAGTTAAATAAATAATTTTAAATAAAAGGAAAAAACAAAAAACAAAAAACAAGTGTGGCAGACGTGCATGCATGACCATAATCTCAACAGGACAGAGAAATGGAGAAGGGACTGAGGTGACTGTGCCCTACTGTAGGGTGCTTTCTCCCTCTCCCTTTCACTGTCTCTTTCTGGTGAGCACATGTTCCCTCTTGCAAATTAAAAAAAAAACTCTAAATTAAAGAATCAGATCTAGGGAACCAGCAGTTAGCGTAATGGTTATGTCGCTGGACTCCCACGTAGTCGACCGCGGTTCGTGTCCCGGACCCGGTGGCTTAAAACTCACGCCGGGCGCGTGTGCGTGCGTGCCCAAGATCCCAAGAGGAGAATGGAGGAGAAGGGATTGCGGCGTGACCATCCCCTCTGGGGGGTGATTTCTCGCTTTCTGTCTCTATGTCTCTCTCTGTCTGTCTGGCGAGTGCACACGCCCTATAGCAAAAACCTCTCCAAAAAAAAAAAAAGAATCAGATCTATTACCACAAGATACTAAGTGAAACAAATCAAAGAGTCTATTCAACTGTAGTCAGGTTTCTTTTCTACACAATTTGATTCCTTTTTAAAAAGAATTATTTGATTTTACTTTTAATTAATTAATTAATTTAAATTTGATGAGAGAAGGACAGAGTGAAAGAGAGGGAGAGAGAGAGAAAGTGTGAAAGCAAGCCTCCAGGTCTGGGACTTGAACTACAGTTGCCCATGTGGGAGTCCAGTAACCACCACGCTACCTACAAGCCATGTATACAATTTGATTCTTTCCGTTAAGAAAGGGGCAAGGTAAGAGAATGAAAATCAAGAAAAAGAATCTGAGAAAGTGAGAAAAAGAAACAGCACAGGAGCAAAGAAACAGGCAGAGGGGTGATAATGAAAGGGTTGGTGAGAATCAGGAGAAGCAATGAGAGAGAAAATTTCTACCACCTTAGTAAAATGATACTCTAACAAAGGACTTCCAGAAAGCACTAGAAAAGAACTTGCCCTGGAGATATTTTCAAAATAATCTAACGTTACCACTGTTTGATAATGTTATATATTTCTTCCATATTCATTTCTGACACCTTTCTCCCTCGATTAGTCACAACTGTCACTTAATGATAAAGGAGGAACAAGCTGAATCGATACCTGAAAAGACATCTGGAGCTTTTGGCAGAAGCTTCTTAAGTTTCTCACTAATTAGATCCAATAAAGTAACCAGTGTCTACATACAAACATGTATTTGAAAATATTTCATGTGAGGTTTTTCCAACCAGGAATTCAACATGAATAAAAAACAAAAACAAAAACAAAAACTCAGTATTTCTGACCAATGCAGGAGAAGAGAATTGCACGTGGGGAGAGAAGACAGGTGATAGAAGGTCTCTGGACTCTAAGTGGTAAGAATACTGGGATTCTTTTTTAGCATTCTTAAAATCCTATTTTCCGCTTTCTTGTATGTCTGTATTTGAAATTATTATTATTGCATTAATTATTAGTGAAATGTCCTCCTATAATAAAAATATTTATACTCTTGTAGAAGCACTCATCGAAATCATCTTACATTGTAATCACATGGTCCATATGTAAATAGTAGCTCTAAAACACACTAAAACATCATTTTCTTACAACAGGTAGATATTCTTTTTCCAATTTTGGATATACCAAAGGTAATTCCAGACTGCAAAAATATACCTGGAGAAATAATCCCTCAGCCTGTATTGTTACGGGGCAGGCCCTAGTCCTACCAAGGCTGAGGTTCTGAAGTCCGTGCCCAGAATGCCTTCATCCTGCCTCTGATTACCTTACCATTTAGCTTCCACGTGTCCTGGCACTTTTTAGCCACAAACCTGTCCCCCTAACACATTCTGTCACTCAAAAAACATTTAGTGAGTGTTTGCTAGGTACTGGGTACTGTTCTAGGTAATGAATATGCAGATCAAGATTCTGAACTCACAGAAATTACACTTTCCTAAGAGAGAAAGACAAACTAAATTAGCAAATACACACTACATACAGTTTTTGGCAGTGACAAGTGGCATTGGGAAATCATAAAGCAGGCAGGCCCAGACATGATGGTGTGTACATCTAAGATGCTGCTACTCAGATGAGGCCATATGAGAGGCCCAAGTTCAAACCCCCCCCCAACCTAAAACAGATGGGGTACAGTGGTGTACATTCATACATAACAAGACTCTGTTAAAGAAAAATATCGTTCTCTCTCTCATTAGTATTTTTTTTTTCAGTTGCCAGAGTACATGTATGTTTAACTAGAAAGAGAGAGAGAGAAAGTGAGAGAGAGCACACCCACCAATGAGGGGTGGAAACACTGCAATCCATTCTCTTCCATCCTGTTGAGATTCTGGACATGCACGCACATGCACCTAATGTACTTTTCAAGATGCAGGATTAGAACCGCAGTTAGACATGTGGGATCCAGCTCACAATGTTCATTGCTTTTAACCACTGTGCTCCAGCGATGACTCTCTCTTATTAAAAAACAAAGACAAAAACCACATAAAACAAGGTAAGAGGACCAGCAGTTAGCGTAATGGCTATGTCGCTGGACTCCCACGTAGTCAACTGCAGTTCGGGTCCCGGACCTGGTGACTTCAACTTATATCGGGCACGTGTTTGTGCATGCCTAAGATTCCAAGAGGAGAATGGAGGAGAAGGGATTGTGGCGTGGCTATCCCCCCGGGGAGTGATTTCTTACTTTCTGTCTCTCTGTCTCTCTCTGCCTTTCTGGAGAGTGCACACGCCCTCTAGCAAAAACCTCTCCAAACAAACAAACAAACAAACAAATGAGGTAAGGACTAGAGTGAAGGTGACTATAGATTCTGTCTTTCTGAGAGAATAACATTTTGAGTAAAGGTCTGCACACTAAGGAGTAAACCATAAGATCTGGGAGAAAAATATTTCAGAGAGATAGTAGACAACATAGGTACAGCCCTGGAACAGGAAAGAGCGTGGCCTATGTGAAAGTCTCTATCACACATTACGCCCATCTCAGCCTCCCTGAAATACTCATTCTCTAATAATCTCTAGAAACCAGTCATCAGAACCTTCTCTCTGTTTCCTGAACCCCACACCCCTACTTCCTCCAGTCCATTGTCAAGTTCTTTTCTCTCTTCTGGTCTGCTACAAAATTTGAACTGATACTCTGTGGTGCTACTGACAAGATAGAACAATGAAAAAATTCTTTCCAAATTCTTCACCATATGTACAAAAGAGGCAAATTCCTAAAGGAGGAGGAAGGATTAAAAAAAAAAAAGGGGGGAGGGACCAGCATAATGGCTATGCCGCCGAACTCCTATGTAGTCAACTGTGGTTCGAGCGACGGACCCAGCGACTTGAATTCACGCCGGGCGTGTGTGCGTGCATGCTGAAGATCCTGAGAGGAGAATGGAGGGGAAGGGATTGTGGTGTGACCATCCCCCCTGGAGGGGTGATTTCTCGCTTTCTGTCTCTCTGTCTCTCTCTGTCTTTCTGGCAAGTGCACATGCCCTATAGCAAAACAAAACAAAACAAAACAAAACAAAAAAACCTCTCAAAAAAAAAAAAAAAAGTAAGGCCAGCTCATGGCTTGGTGGTTAAGGCAGCTGGATAACACATGGCTGACCACACTGTTCGAGTCCTTTACCCAGTGGCTTGAAGTACACACTGGGCACAAGTGAGTGTATGTCCAAAATCATGAAAGGAAGCAGAAGCTAAGAAGGCATTACAGCATGACCATGCCCTATGAGGGAGTGCTTTCTCACTTTCTCTCTCTTTCTCTGTCTCTCTCTGGAGAACACATGTGCCCTCTGGCAAATTTTTTTCTATGGAAGAAAAAAAGAAAAGCAAGAAGAAAGAGAAGCTGAGTGGTAAGAAGAGAGCAGAGGAAATATTATTTCTAAATTTCCAGTTAGAACCTGGAACTCCCTAGGACCAGCAGATGGCTTAATGGCTATGTTACTGGACTCCCACACAGTTGACCATGGTTCAAGTCCTGAACCCAGCAGCTTAAAACTCACACCAGGTGCATGTGCGTGCATGCCCAGAATCCCAAAAGAATGGAGAAGGGAATGCAGCATGGCCATCACCCTGGGGGGTGATCTCTTGCTTTCCAGCTCTCTGTGTCTGGTGAGCACACGCACCATATAGCAAAAATCTCTCCCTTAAAAACAAACCAAGAAAAAGAATCTGTGAACCTCAGCTAATCAGGTAGCATGGTGGTTAAAGCATCAGGATTCCAGATGATTGAGTGTGCAGTTTGAGTCTCAGACCCGGCAGCTTAGAATATATGCCAGGCATGTGTGCGTAAGTGCCCAAATCCTGAGTGGGGAATGGAGAAAGGATTGTGGTGTGCCCATCCCCCTTGAGGGATGATTTCTCATTTTCCCTGTCTCTCTCTTTCTTTATCTCTGTACCGCTCTGGCAAGCACACACACCCTCTAGCAAAAAACTAAAAAAAGACCAAAAACCAAACAAAGAAAAATGTAATCTAGAATCCATTTTATGTGGGTAGGGTATATGTAAAAATTTCAGTTTAGTGACTATAGAATTAAACATTTATGTAATGTGGGCACCAACCTCTATTTGTTGTATTTTTTGATGAAAAACTAAGTGTAAAGCACAACTTACAAATAAGTTTTAAAAATATTTTTCATTCAAAATTCATAAATGGGTAGGCTGGCCCTGTGGCCTAGTGGCTAAGGGACCCAGATCCAACATGGATCCAATATGTCTGACCATGTGGCTCAAACCCTGGCCCCAGCAGCTTGAAAAACATGCAAGGTACATGTGTGTGCATGCCCCAAATACCAACAGGCTGAAAAATGGAGAAGGGATTATGCCATGACCACACTCTGTGGGACGGGGCGGTGGAGGGCTTTCTCCCTCTCCTCTCTTTGTCTCTTCTGGCCCTCTGGTAAATAAGGAAAAAAAAATTCATAAATGGAGTAGTGCCCCTGTTGTATATACTTGGTGCATCTTTCTCTCTTAACTAACAAGAAAAGAAACTTCAATAATGGTTGACAGAGGTGAGCCCTGTGCATAGGAAACTGGATCCATATGAGTGACCACTGTGTTTTGAATCCTTCCCTAGATGCTCAGAAAACACACTGGACATTTGTGCAAGTGCCCCAAATCTTGACAAGACGGAAAAACAGGAATAATGTTTGCAACGTGACCACCTTCCACTGGGAGGTTCTCTATTTCTCTTTCTCTCTGTAAAGTGCATGCTCTGGAAGTTAAAAAAATATATATTAAGCAGAAAAATAAAAGGGAGAAAGGAACAGTTTCTTATAGAGATTTGGGAGAAATACAAGGGGGTCTTCAGAAAGTTTATGGAAAATACATATGAAAAAACTATGCATGGGTATCAAAATTTTTTCCACCGAAATAAACTTGTAATTTAGGGGCCAGCAGGTGGCATGGTGGTTAAGGCCACTGTACTCCTATATGGCCTACCATGGTTCAAGTCCCAGGCCTGGTGGCTTGATATCTCAAATTATCTCTTTCTGTCTCTCTCTGATCAAATTGGAAAATAATAATAATAATAAAGTTAAATAAAATAATTCTTTTAAAAAATAAACTTGCAATTTAATTCTATTTTCCGGAAACTTTTTGAAGTCTCTTTGTAACAGCACTGTAAGTATTTACACTACTGTCTTGTATTAAAATATAGTAGTCAGGCTAAAAAATAACTATTTTTCTTAAATGTCTCCAAATTGATTAAGAATATGACCATGTTTTACTTTAACCATTTTAAGTCACCACATCTCTTGCCTAGATTATTACAGAAGCCTTTGAAGAGGTATTCCTGCTCCTACTTTTGCCCCTCTATAATCTATTTTCAACACAAAAGTCAGGTATCTTTATAAAAATATCAGTCAAATCATGCCATTGGTCTGCTCAAACCTTCCAATGATTTCTCATTTTATTTCAAAGAAAAGCAACTACCAATGGCTGGTGAGAGCCTTCCTGTGATTTGTGTAGCCGCACTGCCTCTCTGGTCTGAGCTCTTATTTTTCTCCCCTCTTTTCACCCCTTTCTTGCTGTTCCTCAACACATAGGCATCATCCCCAGACCTCTGCTTTGGGAACAATTCCCTCTGCCCAAACCTCTCATTCCCATAGCCACTTGGTTGACTCTCTCCCCTTCCAGTCTTTGCTCAGGTTTCTCTTTCTCAGTATACACACTTGGTCACCTCAATTAATATTGTACACTCCTGGGCCCAGCAGGTGGCTCACTGGTTCAAGCACTGGACTCCCACATGGTTGACCATGGTTCAAGTCCTGGACCTGGTAGCTTTAAACTTATACCAGATGAGTGTGTGTGAATGCCCAAAATCCCGAGAGAAGAATAAAACAGGAGGAACTGCAGCGTGGCCAACCTACCCCCCTTTTCCCACCCCCACTGGGGAGGTGATTTCTCACTTTCTCTCTGGTGAGCGCACACACCCTATAGAAAAAAAAAAAAAAAACTCTCTTAAATAAAAATATTAGTACCCATAAGTCCCTTTAATCTGCTATTTTCATTTTTCCATTGCATTTATCACCTTTTATCAAAATGTATAACTTAATGATTTATTGTGTGTATTTTTTTATTCTCTGTCTTCTTCCACTTGGATATATGCTTTTCAAGGGCCCAGAACTTGGTGTTTTGTTCACTGATGTATTCTAAGCACCTAGAACAGTGCCTGGAACATAGTAATATTAGCACAAGAAATGGGTTGAATAAATTGATCAATTAACTTGCCAATACTAAAATTATTTTAGGTCTGCTTCTTTTTCTATGGTGGGTGTAAAGAGATAGCATTCCCTCAACTTTACACATTTTTGGTACTCAGTAAATTATTTATTAATCATTTACCTTTTTGCTTGACACAAATAGCTTAGCAATAAATATGCCCAACAAAATGCCAGACACCTTGAAGAGCTCCAGTAGAAACCATACCAGTTATTCTGCCAGCACTTTAATTAGTGATTTGGCTTACAAAACTGCTTTGGCAAGAGTTTTCAGGGTCACTGTTTTGTTATCAAACTGTGCACAGGAAGATTAACATGAGCTTGAATTGTTTTTGTTTTTTTTTTTTGAGAGGTTTTTCGCTATAGGGCGCGTGTGCTCGCCAGACAGACAGAGAGAGACATAGAGACAGAAAGCCAGAAATCACCCCCCAGGAGGGATGGTCACGCCGCAATCCCTTCTCTATTCTCCTCTCAGGATCTTGGGCACGCATGCACACACGCCTGGCGTGAGTTTTAAGCCACCGGGTCCAGGACGCGAACTGCGGTTGACTACGTGGGAGTCCAGCAACATAGCCATTACGCTAACTGCTGGTTCCCAGCTTGAATTGTTTTTAAAGGAAAAAACAAAAACAGTTTAAAATTGTTACTGTGAAACTTTTTCACCTGTATGTGCAACCTGTAGGCATTAGGTTCTAATGCAATAACCATTAAAGAGCTGTCATGATTCTTCTCTAATGTTGGGCAACAACAATCCGAGATGTAGTCGTATTGCTTCAAATGCTTCTGTTCTGTTCTCCTTTTCTGTCACGTGGGTCACAAAGAAGACAAATATGGGGCATGAAATGGAGAGTATAGCATTTAGTAGTCAATTAAAACGCTATGATGCTGTATTTGCTTTGCAGATTAGTTTTTACACATACTTTTTTTAAATTAAGAAATATTTCTGGGCCTACCCCATGACCTGGTAGTTAAAGGAGTGACCACATGGCCAACAGAGTGGCTTGACCTCTGGAGGCTTGAAAAACACATTGGGCATATGTGCATGCATGCCTAAAATCCCCATAGGATGGAGAAATGGAGGAGAAGGGATTGCAGTGTGACCATGTCCCATAGAAGTTGCTTTCTCTTTCTCCCTTTCTCTGTGGCAAGCACACATGCCCTCTGGCAAAAGCAAAACAAAAACAGAAAAATCATAGCATCCATGGGGCCAGCAGATGGCATGGTGATTAAGATGCTTGACTCCTCCCATGGTTGACTGCAGTTTGAGTCCTTGACCCAGCGGCTTAAAAAATCACATTGGGCACGTGTGTGCACGTTCAAAATCCTGAGAGGAGAATGAAGGAAAAGAGATTGTGGTGTGGGTGGCCATTCCCTTTGGAAGGTGATTTCTCTCTCTCTCTCTCTTTCTCTCTCTCTCTATCTCTCTCTCTCTTTCTCGGGTGAGTGCACACACCCTATGGTAAAAATTTCCAAACGAAAAAACCACAGCATCTAACAAAAGTCTTATGTTAAATTGAAAAGAAAATAAAAAATTTCAAATTCCCAGGAAATTATATAGCCACTTTACTCACCATGCCACTGGTTGGCCTGAAATTTATCTAATAATTATACATTAATATGCCATGTAAATACATTCATTATTATCAAATAGTACTTTTTAACATTAAATTATACAGTCACTTACATAGCTAAAAAAGTGACATTATGTCATGCAATTTTTATTTTGCTAAAAGGTCACCAAATTAAAACCTCAGAAATAAATATTTCCAGTTGCCTCGTTTTTTTTTTTTCTTTTTTTTTTTTTTTTGAGAGATTTTCGCTATAGGGCGCGTGTGCTTGCCAGACAGAGAGAGACATAGAGACAGAAAGCGAGAAATCACCCCCCCCCCGGGGTGATGGTCACGCCACAATCCCTTCTCCTCCATTCTCCTCTCGGGATCTTGGGCACACATGCACACACGACTGGCGTGAGTTTTAAGCCACCGGGTCCGGGACATGAACCGCGGTAGACTACGTGGGAGTCCAGCGACATAGCCATTAGGCTAACTGCTGGCTCCCAGTTTTTTCATCCTTGTACTACAACAGGATGTTTCTTAGAATGTCTCTGTGATGTATTATACTTGAGAGTTACGTCCTATACTACATCAGTTACATTTGCTAGTACAACTTACATGGCAGGAAACAGTGGTAAATAGAAAAAAAGACCACATGAAGTACATTGACACCCTGAAAAAAATATTAAATGCAATACTCATTTAATTCATAAAGATTTTTACTTCAATGTGTATATTTAAAATTGTTTTTAGGCAAAAAGTAAAGTTTAAACATCCTTTCTTAACCTAAAAGTTCAATAATTCCTGAATGAATATCAAAATCCTCATCAGTTAACACAGTTAACAGGCAATCTCTCTCTTGCTTATAATATTTTACTACGGCATCAAAGAGTATCTTCTGAATATCCAATTTTATCTCTGCATTGCCATTTTGCCCTAATTGTTGACTAACTGTTGCTATTAACTAACACGTCAGGGAGACATTCTAAGCACTCAGTTGCTGCAGTAAGCCATGTATCAATCCTGGAGGAAAAAGGCAAAACAACTCAATGGTCAATATTTCCATTGCACTAAAGTACTGTTTAATAAAACATAAACATGAGCTGGCCAGTGGCCTCATGGTTGAAGGAGCAAGATCCCACATGAATGACTATGTGGTTCAAATCTTGGCCCTGGCAGCATGTAAAACATGCCAAGCATATTTATGAATGTCCAAAGTCCTGACAGGATAGAGAAACAGAGGGGAAGGGGCTCTACTGTAACTGCACTCATTGTAGGGTGCCTTCTCCCTCTCTTCTTTCTCGAGTATCTTATCTTTCCTCCTTTTCTCCCCCCCACTAGTAATATGTTTTCCCTAACATGTGCAATTTGTTATCTTCTAGATCCTAGCATTGCAGATGAAAGACTAATGACAGTTTGACTACTTTTCTCTTGCAGATAACCCGTCCTTTCTGCCTTGAGTGTTATAACAGCAGATTAGACTGGATGTTGTCAGTTATCTGCAGAGGCCCTCAACCCTGCTTGGATTTTTTTTTTTTTTTAAGTTTACTTCTTTTATGAGAGAGAGAAGGACAAGGACTCTCAGAATCATACCTGACAACCCCGTCCTGCCTTGCAACCCCATCTTTCTCAGTCAGTCAGGATCATGGGTGTGCATCCAGCATATATAGGTTGACCAAGGAACCAAACTTGCTATCTCCCATACCAATTCAGCATCACCTGAGCAGTGTATTCCTTCTGCACTTCCTGGGCTTGGCCTGGTTTGGCTCTTTCTTGGCTTACTGTGAATAAAGGAAACTTGCCACTTAACAAACAGGTCCATAGGTGACTAAGTGAGTCCCTATCTCTATGATTACTAAACTCTTCCCAGGATCTGAAGCTTTGTGATCCTCAGTTTGATTTTCTCTTATTTGGCCCACATAGGAGAAATTATTTTATCAGATTTTTCTGCTGAAATTACAAAAGTATCTGGGTCTTAATACCTGTAGTCACCAGCAGCTGGTTTATTCAAGAGTGACAAATATCTTGGAGTTGGGAGTAAAAAAGAGAGTCTCATTGAGGTTACATGGTTCTCAGAATTTCTTATCCACAAATGAGACTGCTTTTATTTTTTTCTTCTAAAATTTAAACTATAAGGCACATGAGCTCGCCAGAGAGGTACAGAAAGAGAGACAAGTAAGAAATTATCCCCTGGGGTGTAGCCACACCATAATCCTTTCTCCATATTCTGCTAGGATTTTAGGCATGCAAGCACATGTACATGTGCCAGGCATTGTTTTCCAAGCTGCTGGGTCTGGGACTATAATTGTATTGTTGGCCATGTGAGATCCAGTCACCTTAACCATGACATAGGCCAGCCCTATGACTTACTTTATGACAGAGCTGTAATTTTTCTCTTTCATGTATGTCTATTCTAGTAGATAGGGTGAGGATTCTAGGGTGAGGATGAATGAACTGGTAGAAACTGTGATGGCTATATTGCTTTAGGGCCATAAAATGGAAAGAATAGAACTTTGGATGATTTAGGGAGAGGATGATTGACATATAAATCAAACCAGTATGATTTCCAATTTTTTAAAAGAATTATTTATTTAATTTTATTTATTCATTCATTTCTTTTCTTTTTTCTTTTTTTTTTTTTGAGAGTTTTTTTTTCACTACAGGGCGCGTGCGCTCACCAGACAGAGAGAGACATAGAGACAGAAAGCGAGAAATCGCCCCCCCAGGGGGGATGGTCACGCCGCAATCCCTTCTCCTCCATTCTCCTCTTGGGATCTTGGGCATGCACGCACACGCGCCCGGTGTGAGTTTTAAGCCACTGGGTCCAGGACGTGAAACACAGTCGACTACGTGGGAGTCCAGTGACATAGCCATTACGCTAACTGCTGGTTCCCTATTCATTTATTTTCATTTGACCAGAGAAAGACAGACACACAGAGAGAAGGAAAGTGACAGAGCAAGCCACCAGGTCCAGGACTTGAACCGTGGTCAGCCATGTGGGAACGTCCAGCGCCTTAACCACCACGCTATCTGATGGCCACCCAACATTTTTTTAGAGGTTTTTGCCTTAGGGAGTATGCATTTGTCAGAGAGAGAAAGAAAGACAGAGACAATGAGAGACAGTGAGAGGGAAAGTGAGAAATAGCCCCCCAGGAGTGTTGGCCACACCACAATCCCTTCTCCTCCATTTTCTTCCCGGGATCTTGCATGCACCTACACATGCTAGTCGTGACTTTCAGGCCACCGAGTCTGAGGTGCAAATTGCAGTTGGCCATGTGGGAGTCCAGTGACATAACCGTTATACCATTTACTGATCCCTCCAATGGTTTTCTTCTAAGTCATAACTCATGGCTTTCTTTGTTAGATCAAACAAGAATCCAGTAATTAATTTATGAAACAGAGATGGTATCATCTTATCATATGGATATGTTCTCCTGCCTTAAAATACCAAGGGCAGAGACCAGCAGTTGGCATAATGGCTATGTCGCTGGACTTCCATGTAGTTGACTGTGGTTTGAGTTCCGGACCGAGTGGCTTAAATTCACGCTGGGCACATGTGCGTACGAGCCCAAGATCCAGAAAGAAGAATGGAGGAGAAGGGATTGTGGCGTGGCTATCCCCTCGAGGGGTGATTTCTTGCTTTCTTTCTCTCTGTCTCTGTCTTTCTGGTGAGCACATGCACCCTATAGCAAAAAAACTCTCCAAAAAAAAAATATATATGTATATATACACACACACACATACATACATACCAAGGGCAAATTTGTGAAAAAACTTTTAATTTTATTTATTTAATTTATTTTTTCAAAGAACTTTTTAGTTAAAAAGATTTGACAAGAAGCCAGCAAGTGGCATCGTGGTTAAGGCACTGAACTCCCACATGGCCAACCATGGCTTGAGTCCCAGACCTGGCAACTTGCTTTCTCCCTCTCTGGTAAGCACATGGGCCCCGTAGAAAATTAAA